GGGGGGGGGAGACCAAAACACTAGAAAAGCATTGCCTAAATACTATGTTAGAATAGTTAAGCTAGACAGATTAGTAGAAATGAACTGTGCATGCATAGTCTGGCCATACAAGAATTTTTTTCCACCAGAGACCCCCACCACTTACAGGATGTGTTCACACAAAAATCAACTTAGACTATATGACATCACCAGATTCCATGTGAGAATTTCAAAGTTTTAATCTGGTGATATAAATTAGTCCATTCTTGGTCTATAGATATGAAGTCAAACCATAACTGCATGTTTCTACATAGCAGAAGAGAGGATACCCATGTTCCTAACCCCAAACCATTGAAGAGAGTTCATAGAAAATAGACCACCACAAGAGAAGTGAAGAAATATATCAAGTTAAAAAGGACTTAAGTAAGACCAGGGCAACTCTAGGTAGTAGTTGCAATAGTCATCAGCATTACTATGTCTCTTTATCCTATATAAAGCTTCAGAACTGCAGCTAAAAAGATTGCACAGTGCATAAATATATGCTGAAGATCTTCACAAGAAGTTATGAAGAAGATCACCTCAGAATAAAGATAATGAGAGGTTTATAGACAACTAAGATAGTTGCATGACCATAAAAAATCAGACTCACATAATTGATCACACCGTCCCTCCACCATGTCAACTGTGCTAAGAGTGTGAGGTTAAATTGTCAGTCAATTCACCCATGTTATACACCATACCTCCACCTGTGCAGTGCATATAGGTACACAGATACCTGCTATGTTATATCCAGTCTGTGCACTGAAGCTCTGCTAACCCCCGTTTTACACAATGCACTTTGAACCAGAATGGCACATAATTTGGGAAGTTTATTTTAAAACAATAGTGTAGCACGTGTGCTGTGTACCCAGTGCACACTGTTAAGTTTTAAATATTGCTATTCACTTCTTGGTCCAAGGCCGATAACCTTTAAGCCACAAGTAGCACCTTTTTTAAAATTTCACATTCAGCAATTTTGAAAAGCAGTTTAGTCTAAATTCACACAACTTTTCAGCTAACCTAAAAGTCAAGGTAGCTCCATCAAATAAAGCACTGAGTTATCTATATAAAACTGTCCCAACTTTGTGCCACCCTGGTACCCAATTAGCTCCACTGGGCATGTGTAAATGTGCCTTTGCTTCAAGGGCCATGGCATAAGAGTCCTATACAGTGCACTTACCTTAACAGGTCTGATAGCTGACTCTTGATGCATGTCATCCTGCTGCAGATAGGCGAAAGTCTGGTCTCCCAAGATGGTGTCTTCTCCTGCAATGACATTAGTGGGGTCAATATCTGAAATTTCTTTAGGTTTCTACCCTTCCCAGCTCAGTTCAGAGACTAGGACTCTGGACTAAAAGAGGCAGAAAGCCACCATAAGCAAGAGGGTTTGGCTGTATCCACATTGCATGAGGATAAAGCATAGTTGGTGGTGTTAAACTAGTTGACAACATGAAAACCTTACCTTTATTTTTTCTTCCAGCTGTAAACTACACAATAATTACAACATTTAAGATAATAATAAACAAACAAAATAAACTACACATCAACATCAACAAGCAAGTCTACATCAAAGCATGACGATTTGTGTGAAAATATGGCACTGTGAATTGAAACTAATCAAGCAGTAAGGAATTTGCCATTGACAGTTGTTGCTATAGTGTGCTCATTATAAGAAATAGCTCCGAATACCAATCGACCAATCAACTTTCTCCACACATGACTTACGTCCATCCACCCTCATGGAATCGCCCTGGTAATATGGCAGGTAGACCCTCTGGTCGCCTCCCAGTAATGGGGAGCGAGGCATATAGTCTTCTACAGCAAACACTTCACCTGGGGGGACAGCACAGAGATAAGCAACCACTATGACCACTGAGTGTGAGTATAGGGGGCACCACTGCATACCACCTTTAGCGTAACTGGTATAGTTGATATTTGACTTGAATTTGTCCTTATGTTGTTTGGTTATGTTACAGAAAAAAGGTGATGGGGATGAATTTGGTAATTTTAGTTAACATGAGTCAAATTTTTGTTGAAAAGATAGTATTAACTATGATACGTGTTATCATGCACATGCGTGTCACTGCTGGTGTACAACAGTGTAATTTGGTGGAAATGTGTTCTTGGAAATATTAGTATGTGTATCGGCATCTCTGAATATGCTGAAAGTATTCTATATGGGAATATTTTGAGCATGGTCATGCAATGTTAGAATGCACTTCAATTCCATGAGTCTGTTACTATAATGACACATGCTTCTCAGAGGATTCAGTAGAATGCTCACACTATCAGTAAGGAGAATATGTTCACTATGTGCAGCTGTAGAGGTAATATGTTCTGAATGTGAGAGATAATAAGTAAAGCTGTTAGTTTCTATAGAGCATTTGCATGCATGCAGGATTGGTTACACTTTGATAACATTGATATAAGTGCAAATTGAGACACATGCTTGGAGAAATGACTCTGGGTTTCGAGGCTCAAGGCTTAGTGGACAATTAAGCAACAGTCTAAAGCGGGTGCATGAGGTATCAGCAATTCAATGCAAGAGGGTACATGAATAGAATATTGACAGAATATGGGCATACTCCATATCAATATATATTTATATACAACATCAATATAATAGTTTCATGCAAAAATGTTATAAGTAAAAAAAAATGTTCTTGCTGAAAAAGTAGTTACTTAAATTCTAGAATATTCAACATTGTGAAGTTATATTTTTATCAAAATTTTAGATTCAAGCTTTTAATGATTTTGATTATCTCTTTTCAAAATAATAATAATCACTCACAAAGAGAATTTTGACAAGTATTCATTCAATTTATTTTTAAGTAACTACTTTATCAAATGATCATAGCATACATTTAAAATTTCAATTCACTCTGTAAAAATTTCCCAATACAATATCCTACAAGAAATTTCCATATGCAAAAAGAAAAAAAATACCAATCTCTTAATACTACTTGCTACACACTCTACCCTACCAATCAATAACAAGACCCATACACTCCATTGATTAGGTTATCACTTGTCATTCTCAGGAATAAAGCAATGCATATCAAATCCCTTCAACGTCAAGGCAACATGTCCAACACAATCAATTTTACCACACCATATATTATATCCCAATTCATCAATTTTTGCCATCTCGTGATTAGCAGAGGACTCAAGTCATTATTGTCATGCTAGCAATTTCCATACATCTTTTCTAATGAGATAGGGACTGTACAGTATTTCTGGGTTATATGCATGTTCTAATGTAGAAGTAATAAAACTGTCTGGCTTCTGCCCTTATGATACATGCAGATAGACACATCATCAATCTGGCTGACAACTTTATTGATCTACTATGGCCACAGGATGATATCTCATTTCCTGAATGACTCATAGAAACAAATCAATCAATAACAGTATGCCAAGGCAGAATATGTACGGTACTAAAAATTTCATTGC